CTTAAGGAAAACAGTATCAAAAAAGATAACAACAAAGATAATTGCTCATTTGCCATTTAGCTTTTAGACTATTGGTGTAAATTAAAGGGAAATTTAAAAATCAACCAACTTGAGAATTTTCAAAGCATTTCAGATATTCATACTTGCAGAAGAATAAACAGACTTGTTAGGGAAGTCAAAGCACTATTTGGAACAGAGTTGATTACAAATTTTTCTAACACAAAATAAAAATATTCCCTGTGGCACACTCAGAATGTACTTTATGAAAGTATACATTGTCTTGAATTGAGATGTGTATTGTATGAACCATCTTCTTGTGCTTAAATCTTTGACTTTAAATAATATCCTTTAACACGTATTTTTTTTTTTTTCTTTTTTTTTTTGGTGGGATTCTTGCTGGTGGCCGGGGAATGAACCGGCGCTGCAGAGGCTGCAGGTAGCCTCGCAGCCCAGCGCTCAACTGCTGCGCCACCAGGGGAGTCCCCTTTATTTTCAAGTGACCAGTTTTTCACGTATTTTCAAGTGACCAGTTGAGAGTTTTTAGCTGTCATGAATAAAAAAGACTATGGCTTCACCTTTAGAGTAAAAGTGGTATTATCTAATGGTTGAAAGACTATGTTAGTCATAGAACTTGTACATTAAGTTTTTACTAACAAGAGCATCATGAAAACAATCTGTAAGAGATAATTGTGATAGCAAAAGGTATTTTTTAAAATTCTTTTATGGATAATTTTGAGGATGTCAGGAGATTCAGGAGGAATGCCTCAAGTTGTTTATAAAATAGTAGGGAACGTTAGTTCTGTATAATTGACTATCTACTGTGGCTACAGTAAAGTACTACAAAAATTTTGTTTCACCATTATGTTAGTAACCTTAGCACAAGTGTTACTATAAAACCATGAATAATATTTTAAAGAATATTTTTGTTTTACAGATTTTTTTCTATTAAATTAATAGCCTATTAACAAATAACTCATAATTATTTGTTCCTTCTCTTTTTTTTTTAAAAAAGATTGATTTATGCATATAGGAACTGGGGTACACGCCAGAGGGGGTGAGAGGATTCACCAGAGACAGAGTAGGAAACAGAACAGGCAGACTGATTGAAATACACTGCTGAGGGGAGCAGTGGGCAAGAGAGGAGAGGTCTGCTGCACCATGTGGGTTGCTCCCTGACCGGGGATTGAACTCATGATACAGTGGCTGCCGATAGCTTCTCAGTGCTGTACTTAACCCCTAGCGCCACCAGGGAGGCCCCTGTAACTTCTAACTCTAAAAAAATTTTTTTTTAAACATCCTTGTTTGACTTTCTGTAATACAGGATTTCTCCCCTCAGGGGTGGTCACCATAGTTTACCCACCACCCAAGTGCCCACAGCCCTCCACCACACTCACCATGCTCTCCTTTACTCTCTTCTCAACTCTCCCCTCCCCCCCTCCTTCCACCCTCCTCCTGGGTAGATTCTTTTTTTTTTTTTGTCTTTTTTTTGTCAGACCCTCGTCTGCTGCCAGGGATCGAACTGGCACTGCAGAGGCTGTGGGCAACCTCGCAGCCCAGCGCTCAATGGCTGTGCCACCAGGGGAGGCCCTTCCTGGGTAGATTCTAAACCTTGAAACTAGAATAGAATTCTGTTTTATAGTAATAGGCAAAGAACCTCACAATACCTATTGGAAATTAATAATAATTGTAATATTGATAAAAACATAGTGCTTATTTTGCATATTGTACTATTTTGAACACTTCACATATCATAGCCCATTTTATCACCCAGCAACAACTATATGTTGATAATCTTACTGTACTGTTGAGAAAATAATTAAAACCAGAACTTTTTATAAATACAAAAATATCTTCTCAAAATGTAGAAAAGAATGAAACAATATTATTAAATAAGTATTAAACCAGGATTGACGCAATAGTCAATCCACTAAAGAACTTGCAGAGACAAAAATAAATTGCACCTATATCTGTGGTCAGGTAAATGCACTGAATTACATATATGTAGTTATTTTTAGCCAAATGAAAGAATAAAATTCTCACATTTTTGACAAGTAAGGGTTACATCTTGGAGCAAAGTACCCCAGACTCCTACTGAGACAGGAGACAGGGCACCATCCTCCTTGATGTTCATGTTTCAAAGAGATGGCTCCATGTCTCCTGGAAAGACATTGCTGGGGTGCAAAACTAGTAAGAGCTCTATTATCTTTTAGAAAGATTTACATCTCAGAGTGACAGAGAAAGTACTTTTTCTGGAAAACATTTTCTAAAGGAATACTAAAGAGAGACAATTTTTGTGATACCAGGGACATCGGGAAATGTAAAATAAAAATTTTTCTAGCTTTGTACAATACACATTTTAGAGAAGAAAAATTTGAACAGCAAAGAAGTGACTAGCCAGAGTAACATAGGAGGAAGCTCCTCAGTGAGAGCTTGCTTAGATCCTAGAACCAAAAGACAAAGGGATAGGAAATAGATCAGGAAATTAGAGGACTAATCAGTGCAGTGTCAAAAATAAGAAAGCCCAGTGAGAGAGAAAGGCAGGAAAAGAGGGGAAGAAGGTATATATTAAGTGATTCAAGAACATTTCCCAGAACCAGAGGATATATTTTTTGCTAGGTTGAAGGGGACCATTTAGAGTGATGGATGAAAGAAAATCCATGTCAAGAATCCTTATGAAATTTCAAAGCACTAAGAAGGAAAGATTTTCTAAGATTTCACAGAGAACAAAATAGGTGGTAGAAGGATCAGGGATCAGAATGCTCTCTGACTTCCCAACAATCGGCACAGTAATAAGGCAATGAAAAATTACCTGTCAAATTCTGAATGTAAATGCTTTCCAACCTGTGGTTTATATTGAGTCTATTAATTATGAATGTAAAAGAAATATATTTTCAACCTTTAGAAATTTAATTTGATATGTTCCCTTTTTCAAAGCTTTAGAGACTGTACTGCACCAAAAAAGAAAAAGATAAGGGATATAAGAGACAGGAGTAACCACATAGAAGAGAGATGAAAGGAATATTCAGGGCTATAATGAAGGAAGATCCCAGGATAGCAGCTGTGTGGTAGATAGGATAGTCCATCTAGGTAGGCATAGTTATCACTGAAATGGCAAGTTCCTTTGTAACTTTAAAAAAAAAAAATCTGGTCAAATTACATGAGTTGGGCCATAATATGACTGCTTAGCTTACCTTGACCATGTGCTGATTCAGTTCCAACTCTTTCTTGTCATGCTACACCTGGATCACCTGAGGATTCTCACTTAACCCCTCAATAATTTGGTATGCTTTGATTTACTTTTGACATTAGTGGTAGACCATGGTGAACTTAGAATTGAAAAATAATAAGTAGCCCTTTTATTCATGCCAGGTACTCATGCTTGGACCACACTACTGCTCATAGGTGCTTCAGTTCTCTTGGCCTTTATATTTCACAATATATTCCAATGGCCTTACCTACAGACTTACCTGAAATAGCCTTAAATATCTTTTCGGGGAAGCTGAGCCTTCCACCAAGTCAGATTATGTGTCACTAGCCCTTTCCTGGGAGCCTTTGACTGGTTGTGGTAATATTGCCCTTACATAGCTACCTAGGATTGTCTTTGTGTGTTTTTTCAAACTAAGCATAAGAGGTGTATTTACTATATAGGCAGTAAAACTTAAGTAGGGAATAATGAATAGAAATGTCAGAATAGTAGTTTCCTCAGGATAATGGTGGGAGGTTGGGAAACAAAGTTAGGGATGGGCACATAGGGAAATGTGAAGGGCTAATGGTGTTCAGTTTTCAAGTGGGAAAATGTTTAGTCCCTAAGCATCTTTATTTTACCTATATCACATTGTGGCATGAATAAATATATGTCATGAGTAAAAGCTAGTTAATAACTATAGAAAGAAATATGTGCATTGTGCATCATTTAAATTTTTGTTTGCCATTTACCAACCTGTTCACACACATGATACAGTGGGGCCTAAGGATCTTTGGGGGGAAAATCATCTACCATCCTAAATGAGGGTTCAATAAAGGATTGTTGAATGAAGATTCAATTTAGCGTGTGTGTGTGTATATATGTATAGTAGAATGTATAGTAGATTGATACAGGCTATAGAACAAATCATTCTAGCATTGATTGATATCTATTTTTGACATGTATTATACTGTTTAAAGGAGGATTTCCCATGGAAACACTAGTGGCGATCATATAATGGTGACTTTAATAATCAGTTAATAAGAAAATTATAAAGTTTTGGATTTCTAAAGCCATAGCACACTTTTATTCTATCCCTCCAATCAGTATTTTCAGTTTAGTTGTTGAAAGGCTAAGAATATATGGGGATGTTCCTAGTGCTGAATATGTAGTCATCATTTACATATAATTGGAGTGAATGCATGCATAAATGAATTAGTGGGACTTTTAACCATTTGTCATCAGTTCAGACTTTGAAAATTGTGGTTCACCTTTCTGGAAGGGCTAGATATTTTTTTAATTATTAAAAGAATTTGTATTTTTTAACATAGTAAGTTTTGGTAGCTTACCCAGAATATGGAGAGCTGCTATAATAGTTAACATAATTAACTGATACTTTTAATCTCTCTTGAGGATAACTCATTGGGATATAGGTTTTCATTGCAATTGAAAGAATGTGTTATTTAGTGCACAAATTCCTTCCCAATGATATGTAGACACTGGTAAAAGTTAAAGACACCAATAGAATAGTGTATTTATTTCCTGGACATATTTCAGAATGTACTAAATAAACAAGTTCATGTTATGCTTTGCTACCGTTGTAACCTGTTATTAAGATCAGCTATAATTTTTTTAATATTCAGATTTTTGTTATCTACTTTTTATCATTTTATGAAATGAGATAAAATTGTTTTAGTATATTATATAAGCCATGCACTTGGAAAATTTTTTAAAATATTTTAATTTTATATCGTGTATGTTTAGTTTCTTTCCTTTTTGGAGGTATATTTGGACTAATTGTATGTTTTTCATCTAGGTCACTTTTGAAATACACAAAGAGAACCTTGCTAATGTGTTTAGGGAACACCAGGGAAAAATTGATGAAGAAGCAGGACAGTGTTCTTCAAGCCTGGTTCAAGCTGTTGCTAGTAGTAGTGGGGATGTTGACATTTCAGAAGGATCTCAGCAGTCAGATGTGAAGAATTCTCCTGTGTCTCCTCACATGGCCAGAAACAGTGATGAAAAGTCAAGTATTGAGAACACAACTTCAGTAGAATCTGCACCCAACAATGAACTGCAAACTCCTACAACCTTGGATGAAGAAGAGAAAACTGGACACAAAAATCAGGAGTTAATGGATGAAATTGCTTTAGAAGAAACACCAATGAAGGAAACAGTGAATACAGGTGATTTAGAAGCATCTTCTGACATAGTAGAATCTGTCACTATTTCCTCCAATTCTTTTAAAACAACTGACAAAGATATAATGACTGTCAGTGAAATAACTGCTTCTATAAGTTCTCCTTCAGAAGAGGATGCTTCAGAGGTGCCAGAATTTTTGGATAAGTCTATAGCAGAGGAAGAAGATGATGATGATTATGTAGAACTGAAGGTGGAAAGTAGTCCTACTGAGGAAATCAGTTTACCCACAGAACTCCAGGATAATAGTTTGTCTCCAGCTGCATCTGAAGTCAGTGAAAGACTGGACGTGTTCAGTAATGAACACAAATTAATACTTGAAGCGGAAGAATCCATTAGTAAGAAGCAAATGGATACTGAAACCCAAGATTCTAAAGATTGTGGAGTCTTGACTATGACAGCATCAGGATCTTCAACTACCTCACCAGACATTACGGCTTCCCAGACAACAGTACAATCAGAAGTTGGTCAGATGCTTGAGGAAGGGAAGAAAAGGACTGGAGAAAACCAATCAAGTAGTAATTCTCATGGTAGTAATTCTGAATCTCCTACTACCTCTGAGAAGAGGATTGCTAAATTGGATGTTTCCAGTGTTGCTACAGATACTGAGAGACTGGAATTGAAGGCCAGCACAAATGTGGAAGCATCTCAACCTCATCAGCCTGTGCTAGAGGTGAATATATTTATTGCTGTCTTGAGTTGCAGTTGCATTGAGTTAAAATAGAGGAAGTATATAGACTTACAGCTTATTTCATTTTGGAATGTGATTTGTATCCTATTTGTAACTACATAAAGGTAATGAATGTAAGGATTAGTTTTAGCATAGGGTTCAACTTTTATTATAAGTTCATTAAAGGCAACTTTTATTACTTTCACCATAGCATCTCCAAAAGTTGCTACTTTCATATTTGAGGGTTGGCATAATTTTAGTCTATTAAGGAATCCTTGGAAATACTTGCCTTTTTTTCTTTATTTGATAACCCAGTCATAGTGCATTATTTTTCCAACAAAATCTGGGGCTACCTTCCTGTAGAATCCGCTGCAGTGTATAACTTTAAATACACAGTCTGTGGTTTCAAGTGTTGTTCCATGAGGTCTGCTTACTTTGTGAGAGGCAAGAGTCTTAAAGGGACCTTGAAGCACAACTTTCTGCTTGCCAGTATCTCACAGTGATTCATGAGGAAATGAATGTCATTTTCCACATTATTCAACTCTTGTGCTTCTAGCCCTCTTCTTCCTGTTTGGTTGATTCCTTTATAAACTGCTACATTAGCTGGTGGAGTAATAAGATGGTTCCACGGTAATTACTGTTGAATTTTGCACTTTAGCGTTTGTGATAACTTTACTTTGAATGTATTAAGGTATTAGTTATTACTCAGTGATAATTTCCCCCTAATTTAGTTCTTTAGTATCTTAAAATATATTTAAGTGAATTGCATGGAAACTGTTAAATTATTTATTAATGCCTTCTATTGAAGTTGAATTTATTTTATTACTCTTTTTATTTTCTGCATAGATGTCAAGGCAACAGGAGCGGCCAGGCCAGGGAGTAGCGTCAGATGCAGTTAATGGACAAAGAAGGGATTCCAGATCTTCTATGTTCCGTATTCCCGAGTTCAAGTGGTCTCATACACACCAGCGTTTGCTCACTGATCTGTTATTTTCAATAGAAACAGATATACAAATGTGGAGAAGGTTTGTTCATATGCTTACTACAGAAGATGTGTATAAATTTTAATCTTTGTTTTCTAAGAAATTTAACCCTGCAGAATTAACATTTGCAGTTGATTTCATAAATTTGTTTAAAAAGTAGAAGTTATTTCTATGGTGGGGTTTTGTGAATTTTACTGTCTATTATAAAAGTGAACTACCCTGTGTGTGTTACAAAAACTTGAAAGTAAGAGCTTTTTCTTCTAAAAGATCTGCCATGGATTTAAAACAGTATATTTTCTATGTTTGGAATTCACCTAAAGGTAAGTCAGCCAAGTAGGTTTATTACTAGCAGTACTAAAAAATTTGGATTCAACTATAACATCCAATTTTTCAGTATATATTTAATATAAAAAACTGTATGCTTCAGATTATCTTCTACTGTTTTATGGTTTTAAAAATGCTTAATATGCTTATTATTGGTATGTTGTTATTCTGTTTAAAACTATCCTAAAACATTACCTGAGAATACATTAATAAAAAATTAATTTTTAATACCTTATTTAGTAATAATTTACCTCTTAATTTGTGCCTCATGACTTCTGATTTTTTCCCCATTTAATAATAATTTAGTTCACCTTTTGATATCAAGTATAAGATGTATAGTATTTATAATTCAGCTTGAGAAAGGGCATGTATAGTAACTACTGATAAGGAATGCTCTACTACTTCTGAGGCTATACACCCCCAGATGCCTGCTTCCTCATTATCTTTCTTCAGCTTTCCAGATAAAGCAAGAGCACATTCTTATCCTCTCTCCCCTTAAGCAGGAAAACTGTGATTTCCTTTCTTTAGCTTTATCAGTAAACATCATTTATCTTTGGACAGCCATTCAACAAAGACAGTTATGGACTTTGTGAATAGCAGTGATAATGTCATCTTTGTACACAACACAATTCATCTCATCTCTCAAGTGATGGACAACATGGTCATGGCTTGTGGGGGTATACTGCCATTGCTTTCAGCTGCTACGTCGGCTACAGTAAGAACTTTAAGAACTTTACCACTGTATAAAATTGGTGTGAAAACATGTCTGTTATGCATCCTTACTGATTAGAACTTGAATATAGTTGTAATGTTCATTGTAGATAATGTAAATCAAAAGCAACATGATTTTGTATAATTGCCTGAAAGGACCATAGAATCTGTTTCGGGAATGAAAGGACAAAAAAAGAGTGTTTTTTTTTTAGGGATGAGTCAGCTAGTGAAGAATATGATTGATGAGCTTTCACCTGTATGTTTCTATTGCCTTTTTTTTAGGTGAAATGATAAGGAAATCATTCAGTTGAACTAGATTTCTGAAAGCCTGGCTTTTAATAAAATTTAGAAATTTGGGAAATGTATCTAATAGAATTAGATTTTTATCAGTATATAGATGTAAATGTTAAACTTATTCCTTTCAGCATGAACTGGAGAATATTGAACCTACTCAAGGCCTTTCAATAGAAGCCTCTGTGACATTTTTGCAGAGGTTAATCAGCCTTGTGGATGTGCTTATATTTGCAAGTTCTCTAGGCTTTACTGAAATTGAAGCTGAAAAAAATATGTCATCTGGAGGAATTTTGCGGCAGTGTCTCCGACTAGGTGAGTTGTTAAAACCCACTAGTTAGGAATTTTCTTTAACAATTTTTGGTAACCCAACCATGCTAAATTCAAAATTATGTTTCTCCTGTTAGTAGGAAAATACGTGGTAGGCAGTTTGCCATTTGCTGCTATTTATTTAGTTTCATTTTTCTAATGAAGTTCGATTGTTTTTTATGTCCTTGTTAAATTTTGACGATACAGGATTTCTCCCCTCAGGTGTGGTCACTGTATCTCTCCCGCAGCCACGGCGCCGGTGGTAGCCCTCCACCACAGTCCATTGTGCTCTCTCCCTTCCCTACCTCCTCCCTTCTTTGGGAGCTGATCTATGGTCAGCTTTCAAAAGTTGGTTTTACAGTTTGTCTTTGTCTGAACCTTTGTTTGGTTTCTCTATATTACACATATAAGTGAAACCATCTGGTATTTATCTTTCTCCTTCTGGCTTATTTCGCTTAACACAATGCCTTCCATTTTGCTGTGTTTTAACCTCCAAAGAGTAAACGATTATGTCCTGTGCTATAGTAGTAATGTGACTTTGGATGGAGGACATGGATTTGTTTTGAAACATCTACTAAGTTGATTCTGATCAGTATTACACCTCCTTCCCAGTCTTTCTTTTTTTTACTTGAAAGTTTTTCAAATTTTCAGATGATTCACACACATCAATCACCAGAGGAATCTTGTTAAAATGCAAATTTGATTATATAAATCTGCGATGAGGCTTGACAGTTATCTTTCTATTAAGTCCCAGGTAGTTTTGATGCTGTTCCTTGTACAAACACTACAGTAACAAGGTTCTAAAATGCCACCATTCAGATGCAGTCTTTGTTAAATAAACTGTAGTAATTTGTTAAAGCTTAATAAATATAAAATCTCCGTTCTCTGAAGTCAGTTCTTCCTGAGTAAAAGGTAAAATCCACGTAAAGATATTTTGCGGTATCTGAGCTTTCGTGGGTGAAGCAAACAATTTTTTTCTTTATACGGAAGGTTTCCTGTATCCAGTTGTTACTACCATGAGTTTGCTCATGATTTGCTTAAGTGGAGAGAAGTAGGTGGAGAGAGGGAGACCAAGAAATGGAAGTGAACCATGGCCATGAGAGGATGGGTCAGAACTAAGGCACTTATGGTAACATCAGCAGTGGAAAATCTAATGTAATAGTTTCCGATATTTAGCAAGAAAATTTGTTATGTAAAATGATATATATGTGCTTAGACTTTTTGGGTATAGTGAATTATAATGAATCCTCTCAGCCTCTCGTGCATCTGGCCTATACCCCAGCTCTTGTATAAATAAAAATAAATCTTTAAAAAAAAAAAAAGAAATTTCAGTCGTGAGAATAACACAACAGAAGCTTTTATTTATTGACTGTGGTCACTTATCATTATTTTTTATTTTTTACAATGAGTCAGCAATCATTTCCCCCTTTTATTTATAAGGAAATTTGAGATCATAGACATGGAGGGGACTTACTGAAAATTCAAAAATTATACTGGGGAAGTTGGAATTTGAGCATAGTTTTTAGTGTTCCTGCCTTTCTCTTCTATTTCTGTAGACTTTCTGTTAGTAACATAATTAAAATATTTAGTCTTCATTGCTTTTGGATATGCCCTATTTTAAACTTTCCTAGAAAGATTTTCTTAGAAGTATAAGACACACTAGCATTACTTCATAATACTCTAGAGTTACTAGATTCAGAAGCTAGGGAAATACTCTGTCCTGTCTTTGTAGCTGTAGAGGGAATCACGGAGATAATTCAGTTTTCCCTAGCATCATCTTATATATGGAAATGAGGCCTAGGAAATGATTGGTCCAGGATCACTTAATAGAGCATAGTAAGCTTGGTAAATAATACAAATATTTGATGCCTCCTTTCCTCATTCCTGTTCTTTTTTGAGCTTAGAGGTGAGATGGTAGGAAGGCAACAATAAGAATAACCTGTTTTACTGAGACCAGTTGACAATCAGGTGTAGTTTTTAAATTGTAATGCAGATCGAAAATTGAGTTTACCTGTGAGGAGGTTAGTACAAAAATTTTTTTTGGGTGCTGATTCCAAATCGACACAGCTGTGTTCCATGTTCTCTCTCCTCACTCTCCCTTTCCTTCCTTTTAGCCTCTGACTTTGTCTTTCATCCCTCTCCTCTTGCCCCTCCTCTCCCCCCTCCCCATTGGCACCTTTCTGCTTTCTGACTACTTTCCCTTCTCTGTCTGCTAGCCATTTGATAGCCTGGTAGTACTTTAGCTTTCCATTTACATTTGCTCTTTTGTTCCTAAGTTGCTTTCCTACTCTTTAGATCACATACCCTAAATACTACTGATTTGCTTGGGAACTGAGATGATTATATACAACAATATCAATTCATAGTCATTTGTGCATTACCGAATTCATTGTTTAAAATTCAAAATGAATTTCCAAGTAACGCAAGTAACTGCCAAAATGGTGGGGACCTGTAGAGAGGTAATTTTGGACTGTATGTTAATCACAACCTCCTTTTTTGTCCTTAAGCTGTTTTGATGAAAGCCAGTAAGGTAGATGCCATAAATACTTGTTATAAATACTATAGTCTCTCCTAATACCATCTTGTAATGATTCAATATAAAAAAATGCAAGTTTCCATTTTAACTATTTTACTTTTTAATGAAGGTAATTACCCTAAGTCAGTCCCTGGCAATGTGACTTCATCTCTCTCTCTTTTAACATCTTTCTTTCAATTCTTTATTTTTTTCTTTTACTTAATAAAATATCATTCTGAGTAGCTAGGTGAAAGCTAAGATTCCTGAATAATAGGGGATCCTAACAGATAGCTGTCAAAGTCAGAATACAAACAGTAGGTGATAAAGTCCAGGGACATTTTAAGAATTTGCTGAAGGTAATTTGTTTTGAATGAAATATTATATAAATTGTATTGTGTACCAAACAATAAATCTGAAGAAGAAGAAATCAAAAAAACCATCCCTTTTGTTATTGAAACAAAAAAAAACAAATATTTGGGAATAAATCTAACAAAAGAGATAAAGGACCTATACAAAGAAAACTATAAAACACTGTTAAAAGAAATAGAAGAAGACACAAAGAAATGGAGAGACATCCCCTGCTCGTGGATTGGAAGAATAAACATTATTAAAATGGCCATCCTTCCAAAAGCAATATACAGATTCAATGCTATTCCAATCAAAATTTCAATGTCATTCTTCAAAGAAATAGAACAATTATTGATGAAATTCATATGGAATCACAAAAAACCCCGAATAGCCAAAGCTCTCCTGAAAAAAAAAGAAGGGAATGGAGGCATTACACTCCCAGACTTCAAACTATACTACAAAGCCATAATCATCAAAACTGCATGGTATTGGAACAAGAACAGACATACAGACCAATGGAATCGAATAGAAAATCCAGAAATAAATCCACAGATTTATGGTCAACTAATCTTTGACAAAGGAGCAAAGACTATGCATTGGAGCAAAGAAAGTTTGTTCAATAAATGGTGCTGGGAAAACTGGGTCGCTACATGCAAAAGAATGAAGCTTGACCACTACCTCACACCATACACAAAAATCAACTCAAAATGGATTAAAGAACTAGACATAAGACCTGAAACCATAAAATATATAGAAGGAAATATAGGCGAAACACTACGTGATCTGCACATCAAAGACATCTTTACAGACACATCACCCAAAGCAGTGATAGTGAAGGCAAAGATAAACAGCTGGGACTACATCAAATTAAAGAGCTTCTGCACAGCAAAAGAGACAATAACAAAAACAAAGAGAAACCCCACCAACTGGGAGAACATTTTTGCACCCAACACTAATGATAAAGGACTGATCACAAAAATCTGCAAAGAGCTGATGAGACTCAGCAACAACAAAGAAAATAATCCAGTCAAAAAATGGGCAGAAGAGCTAAAAAGAAACTTCTCTGAAGAGGAAATGCAAATGGCCAACAGGCATATGAAAAAATGTTCAACATCACTTGCCATCAGGGAAATGCAAATCAAAACTACCATGAGATACCATCTTACACCAGTGAGAATGGCACATATTAAAAAAACTAGCAACAACAAATGTTGGCGAGGGTGTGGAGAAAAAGGAACTCTTCTGCACTGTTGGTGGGAGTGCAAACTGGTCCAACCACTGTGGAGAGCTGTGTGGAGATTTCTGGACCTACTAAACATAGAGCTTCCATATGATCCAGCAATTCCACTCCTAGGTATTTACCCAAAGGACACAGAAACATCAATTCCAAAGAACACCTGCACCCCTATGTTTATAGCAGCACTGTTTACAATAGCTAAGCTTTGGAAACAACCCAAATGCCCAAAAATAGATGACTGGATCAAGAAGATGTGGTACATATATACCATGGAATATTACTCAGCATTCAAAAAAGATAAACACATGCAATTTGCAGCAACATGGATGGCGCTGGAAGGGATCATGCTCAGCGAAATAAGCCAAAAAGAAAAAGAAAAATACCGGATGGTCTCACTCATAGCAGGAATCTAGAAAACTTAAATAAGGGACCAGGAAAATGAATAACTATAAGAAAGTGAAAATCAAAATCAACAAAAAACTATGAACCAGAGACACTTTTAGGGGGGCGGGGGCGGGAGGGGAGGGATTGGGGTCAGAATGGGGGGGCTGCAATTGTATGGGGAATATAACAATAAAATTTATAAAAAAAAATATTTAATAAATACCTAATGGAAGAATAAAAAAAAAAAATAAATTGTATTGTGTACAAGATTTTTGTCAGCTCCTTAATCCTGTATGATTTTCTTTTCTTACCCAATATTTTCCTTAAAATAATTTGCAGTGTGTGCAGTGGCAGTAAGGAATTGCTTAGAGTGTCAGCAGTATTCACAACTGAAAATGAGAGGGGATGCAGCGAAAAGTCAGAAAACAATACACAGCCTGATTTCCATGGGAAAATCTGCAGCCAAGGTAAGCATACAGAATAATTAAATGAAAAAAATATTCTTGTGATTAAGATTTTGAATGAAGTAGTTTTTCAACATACATAAATCTGCCAGAAGACCTATAATAGTTATTAGTCTGTGGACATAACAATGAAATATTTGTGTTTAATTATATAGTAAAGTTATGTTTATACTTAATCTTGTCTCCTTTTCCCAATGTTTTCTTATATCTGTGATACATTTTCCTTCATATAAATTTGTATTTCACGTATTTGGCGAATTAGCATGCAGTTTGTTTTTTCCCTGCATGATGCCTTCTTCACCGGCTCCTTCTCTCCCACCCCACACCTAAAAATGAAGAGAGAAAGAACTAGAAAAGATGAACTGGGAATAGTAATGTTATAGCTTTGTTTTTCTGGTTTTTTAAATGCTATTTTTTAAAATACCTGTGTAATGTGTGTGTGTATTTACATATTTTTGGTCTTCAATAGAGTCCTGTGGACATTGTAACTGGTGGTATATCTCCAGTAAGAGATCTTGACAGACTCCTACAAGACATGGATATCAGTCGACTTAGGGCTGTTGTCTTCAGAGACATAGTAAGTTACAGTGTTTCTTTCAGTACTTTATTAGCTGATATAATATATATATATGTATATATATATATATATATATATATCTCCTCCTTGGCCAAAAGTATTGAGAATAAAAATGATATAAAATTGTGTAGTATAGATAGGAGGACCTAGAAACCAATTCTTTTGATAGTGATTTTAGAACCTTAGGATATTGGAAATAACTATTATTGTGGAGTTAATGTATCAGAGTAATGATACTAAGAAGAAACACACATTACATAGGAAATTTGTAAGTGCTTTATATGCACTCATTGAGTCCAACAAGTTCTTAAGTTTGGTTTATAAATGAGCAATCAGAGGCAGCGATCTTGAGTAATTTGTTCAAGCTAATAGAGCTAGTAAATGATAGAATTCAAACCTAGCAGTCCTAACTCCAGAGTCTACACTCTGAATGTAATGACATGTGTATATTCTGAATGGCCTATTACTTTTCTGAATATTAGCTATTTTTTCCCTCAAGGGATTGTAAACATGGTGCATGATGAAATATTGTGCATGGTGTTTTTAATATTTAAAGATGAAAATATTTTCGTCTTAGCTGATTTTGATGTATAATATGGCTGATTTTCATGTGGCTGTTATAAAGATATCTAAGAAAACATAAAGATGAAAATAAAAATCATTTGTAATCCTGTTCACCAGAATTTGGAGTATTATCATTAGTTAACAATTATTGAACATTTATTGCATATTAAGTGCTGGATGATCTATATTATATATACCTTTTTAGTGAACATTATAAGTTCAGGTTTTAATTTTCTCTTTCTGTAACAGCTCAGTCCTCTCTTGAGTTCTTTCTAGATTTTTATACATGCATATCATGTGTAGATAGTAGTAATAGCTAATTATCAACTATAGTTAATGATTATTGAATACTTTTTGTGTATTTAGCGTGGCATTGTATGCTCCTTGTATTACCTCATTTGATTCACACAATGATCCTTAGAGAAAGACAGCAGTATTAGGTTGAATAATCTAATTATACAAGTAGTAAGTGTTGAAGTGGGTTACCTAGGGGGTTTGATTCTTGAAATTTTTATCTTGACTATTAGGCCATACTGTCTTCCTAAACATCATGTTTTCTGATAACTGATTATTATTTTAATTAAGAAGTCATCAGCTTTTGTTTTCTTCAGAACACACTGACTATTCTGAAACATTCCCAGGTATTGCCCCTTCTTTTTCTGTTTTCTTTCCTGAGCAGGTACTTACTTGAGTCTGTTGCACCAGAACTTTGTATTACCTGGAATGATCTTTCAATATCTAGAATAGATGAAAATTCTTTCCCTATAAAAATTCTCTAATGACTTCCATTTAAAATGAAATCAGAGGGGCCTCCCCGGTGGCGCAGCGGTTGAGCGCTGGGTTGAGAAGCTGCCCGTGGCCCTGCGACGCCGGTTCGATCCCCGGCTGCTCCCCGGCCACAGGAGGAGGGTCCCACATGGCGCGCAGACCTCTCCTGCCGCCCGCTGCTCCCCTCAGCAGTGTACTTTGGTCCTTCTGCCTGCTCTGCTCCCCGCTCTGGCTCTGGTGAATTCTCTCACCCTCCCGGCTTCTGACTGTACCCAGTGCTTGTATAAACAAAACAAACAAACAAACAAATAAATAAATAAAACATGCCTCTATTAAAAAAAAAAAATAAAAATAAAATGAAATCAGAACTCTTCACCCTGATTCAATATAACTTGGCTGTATGGAACTTCTAACCAGTTATTGTATATGATATTTGCATATGGAATTAGAGTATTTTTCCATGTCTACCATGTTATATTGAAAGTAACAAATGCTTTTACTTCTTAAAAATTTTATTATAAAGAATTTTGTAGGGCCTCCCCAGTGGTGTAGCGGTTGAGCACTGGGCTGCGAAGCTGCCCACAACCTCTGAAGCACCCGTTTGATCCCCGGCCTCCTCCCACATGGCGCGACAGACCTCTTCTGCTGCGCCGGCTGCTCCCCTCAGCAGTGTACTTCATACTTCATCACTCTGCCTGTTCTGTTCCCTGCTCTGGCTCTGGTGAATTCTCTTACCCTCCCGCGCTTCTGACTGTACCCAGTGCTTGTATAGATAAATAAATCTTAAAAAAATGTAATCAATTTATATGAATTTTACAAAAGAGAAAAGACTGTAATCTGAAACTAAATCCCAGAGCCTCTTCTAGCATAAAGACTTTTTAAAATTTAATTTAATTAATTAATTTATTTTTAATATTTTATTTTATATAATTCTTACATCATTTTTCATTTTTGCATAATGCATTTTCATTTTGGTTATATTCCCCATATAATTCCACCCCCCTTGTTTTGACCCTAATCCCTCCTCTCCTCTCTCCCCACCCCTCCTACCCCCATTGTGTGTGTCTGGTTTATAGTCGCTTGTTGATTTTGATTTTTTCTTTATTATATTTAGTCTTTTTCCTGGTCCCTTATTTAGGTTTTCTAAATTCCTGCTATGAGTGAGACCATCCGGTATTTTTTTTTTTTTCCTTTCTGGTTTATTTTGCTGAGCATGATCCCTTCCAGCTCCATCCATGTTGCTACAAATTGCATGAGTTTATCTTTTTTGATTGCTGAGTAATATTCCATCATGTATGTGTACCACATCTTTGATCCAGTCATTTATTTTTGGGCATTTGGGTTGTTTCCAAAGCTTAGCTATTGTAAATAGTGCTGCTATAAACATAGGGTGCAGGTGCTCTTTTGAATTAATGTTTCTGTGTCCTTTGGGTAAATCCCTAGGAGTGGAATTGCTGGATCATATGGAAGCTCTCTCTGAGGTTAAGAACAAAGGTTTTTAATCTGAGTTCAGGTTTGATTTTTCACTTTCCATATTCCCTTAGGTAAATTATTTAACTTCTCTTGCTCTCATCCTGTTCAAAAGTGTAAATATGTATAAGTACATAGCAGTGACTGACTTATAGTAAGTATTTAATAAATGACAGGCTACAATTGAAAACAAATTTATTTCAGCAGTTTGGACTTAAACTTAAGAATCTACGGGATATTTTTCATTTGCACAGAAATCAGCCATAAACTTCATATTATAGTTAATAAACATAGAATAAAATGAGCTAAGGATTTAGGTAAGCACAAATAATTTATAGTAGATTAAAAAGTTAAGACCTAGTAAGTTATTTGCCTAATTTTTAAATGTGGATATCATTAGCACTAGTTATTATTTCTCTGGACATGTCCAAAGACGATTTTGGAATGGTTAATAAAAAAAGTACATTTACCTTTCATCAAGTAGTAAGGTCTTACACCTGAAACTTAAAATTGCATAGATTCCAGTTAGATTAAAATTACATCTAATCAAGTGGATCTGTTCAGGCAGAACCTGGTTGGTACTTCATTTTCCCTTGAAATTGATTGTATCTGGAATTTTTGACACTAGTTAGTTCTAGCTTTTATTCTCATTTATATCATTAGTTTTCATTTATTTATGTGCTAGGCAACAGTGTTCTTTGTTTTGCTTACCCTAAATTTATCTGTAATTTGATGGACAAGTTTGAGTTGTTTCTTTAAATTATGCCCAAAACTATTTTGAAAAGTTATCAGAATAGTAATATGTGCAAGAACTTGACTAGCTGAAAAGGCAGAGATGTAGGTGTTATGTGGAGGTAGGATGAAGCCCAGACCTTTTCTGGCAGTTTGTCTAGTTTTCTTTTTCTTTCTTTCAGACACTGTATTTTTAATTCTCCCACTTAGTTTTATGTACTATTTAAACTACTCTTGGGAATTCTTTTGTATCATATAGTTTTTTTCTCTTGAATGTCTTAGGAAAAATCGTTACTGCGATTTTTGAATATATTTTAATTCTTGATTAGAAGTAAAAATAATTGTTTATATGTAATGATAATTGCTATTTCAGTAATATTTTTCCCCTTTCATAACAATTTCATTTTTATTTTTTAGAAATTTTATTATTTGTTATTAAGGTAATGTTGATTTGCTTTCTTGTATATGATTTAGGGGCATATGTTTATTCCTCACATTGCATGTGGTTACTCTTTTTATTAGGACATATTTCTTCAGATTGAGTTACTTTATTTTAAAAGATGAGTCACCTTCTGTGATTCACAAAGCATTTTAACTAATCTTTCCTCAGGTTAATTTATTTTTTGTGTATATTGAAAGAGTTATGAACATTTTTATATTTGAATATTACTATGTAAAATAATATAAAAGCACGTTACTGAATAGTAGCGTAATCAACTACTTCTCTTTTTTCTAGGAGGATAGTAAACAAGCTCAGTTTTTAGCTTTGGCAGTTGTATACTTTATCTCTGTTCTCATGGTCTCAAAGTACAGAGACATTTTGGAACCCCAAAATGAAAGACGGAGCCAGTCAGTTAAGGAAACTGGGTGTGAAAGTGGGAATTTATCAGTCCCTGGTAAGTTTTCAACATTCATATAGAATGTTATCTACTTATGATATTTTAAATATTATTTCTGGATTTTAAATTCATTCATGTATTAAATGTGAGCATACGTACATTCTTGCAACCATGTTTGAAGTTTTTTATTCTGTTGAAGAAATAACAATATATAAAGGCACTTAAGCCCCAAATATTACTCCAGCTTCAGCAAATTGCAAGTAATTGGGTGTTGTAAAGTATAATGTGTGATGGCATGAGTAGTGGGAAATAAAATTGGAATGGTCATCTAATAATTATTTATTGACTACCTACTACTTGCCAGACATAGCTGTGGGCTCAGGCATGTTACAGGTCACCTGCATCCATCTTTCACGTATTCACACCTAATTCACATCCTTGCCCTGGTGAAGTTTTCATTCTAGTAGGCATGTATTATTAAAGAGCCTTGTACTTTAAATCTTAAGAATTTTAGACTTTTTCTTGTAGGCCAGTGACTTTCAACCTTGTGTTGCTTGCTACCCTTTGGTATGTCGTATTCAGTTTGAAGGGTCTTCTCAAGTATTTTGTCACTATTGTTTTTATTTTATTATACAATCTGTTTTTTAAATTTTTTTAAAAAAAGATTTATTTTTTTATGCATACAAGACCTGGGGTACAGGCCGAGATGGGGGGTGGTGGGAGGATCCACCAGAGACAGAGTGGGGAACAGAACTGGCAGACTGACTGAAATACACTGCTGAGGGGAGCAGTGGGCGAGACAGGAGAGGTCTGCCTCGCCATGTGTGTTTCTCCCTGGCCGGCCAGGGATCAATCTTGTGCTGCAGAGGCTGTGAATTGCTTCGTAGTGCGGTTCTTAACCCCTGGCGCCACCAGGGAGGCCCCTATACAATCTGTTTTGATTAATGCTTTATTTACTCAGTACATTTTATAGATTATGTAGTTTATTTTTGCCTCTTAGAATACACCATATATTTCATAATTTAAAATAGTAGATTATTATTAGGAATGAATGTACCTTCTTAAAATTCGTTCTAGATTTTTTTATTTGTACTTTCCTTTTGTTTCTGGGTAAGATGTAGAAAACATACCATTAACTCCAGCATCTGTGGAAGAATCTGAAAGCACATCATCTGCTCCAAGGAGGGACTCAGGCATTGGGGAAGAACCAGCTACCGGTTTAGGAGGTAGTATGGACACAGCAACTCACACGGCACCTTCAAGTGTCATTGCAGGCCCAGATGCCATCAGTGAAGTGTTATGCACTCTTTCTTTAGAAGTCAATAAATCTCAGGAAACAAAAAATGATGGAGAAGATGAGTTAGATAATAAGCCTGGACCATCAGTTTCAGTTTCAAAAAATGTCAACGTGAAGGACATTCTCCGAAGCTTGGTGAATATACCAGCAGATGGAGTCACGGTGGATCCTGCCCTTCTGCCATCAGCCTGCCTTGGAGCTCTTGGTGATCTATCTGTTGAACAACCTGTGCAGTTCAGATCTTTTGACAGGTACTGTAAATACTCTTGTATTGAATTCTTGTATTTATAAAAAAATAATGATTTAAAGTGTAAACAGGAATTCACCTTAACTCTGCTAAAATTTTAGTAGAGTACTAAAAAGGGACATTTTGATCTAATTTATAAAAAGTAAAAGGATCTTTTTGTCATGTGGTTTGTATACCATCTCAAATTTTAAGATCCTTTTCATTAGTTGTGTGTGGCAACCTTTGTGTGAACGAAATGAAAATCTTTGGATTCCCACAGACTATGGAATTCAACTAGGGGTACAGAACCTTCACAGCTTGAGGAAACACTATAGATTCCTGACTTTGATGGGTCTGCTGTCTTAAAAATTTTCCTAATTTGCCTGAAGGTTTTCTTTATCATGAAATTTTCTGCAATCCTTCCTATAAGACATACACATATTTGAGTTATTAGCTGTATGCTTTTCTAAAAATCGGTTTTTATCTGGAAGCACTTTCTAATGTACAGAAAAGTTGCTAGTTGAAAGAACTTTTATTTTTCCTGAGTCATTTGAAAGGAAGTTGATATACTTTATCCTCTTTGCATACTTTATTGTTTATTTTCTTCGTAATCACAGTACATTAATCAAAATAAGGATTATAACATTGATATAAATACTGCTTTCTAAAAGTACTTTTTGAATTTAACTAATTGTCTCAATAATGTCCTTTATAAAAGAAGTCAGTTCAGAATTATGTATTGTATTTTATTGTGGTCTCTATTGTCTTTGATCTGGAAGAACTATTTCTCTGTCTTTCCTTGATTTTAATGATCTTAACACATTAGAAGGTGATAGTTAGCTGTTTTGTAGACTTGTTTACTATTTCTTCAGGATTATTTCCAAATCATATCTTTGGCTGGAACATCACAGAAGTGGCACTATTTCTTGTTGCACTATAGCAAATAGTATATGGTTTTATCTCATTATTGATGATATTCATTCTGATTGTTTATTAATGTGGTGTTTTCTAAGTTTCTCTCCTGTTAAGATATTCCTTGTGAAGAGGTACATGAAATCCTATCATTCTTATCAATCAAACACCTTAAAATTCAATTTTTTCATTATGACCTTAAGGGTTTCTGTTTTATTCTTGGCTTATAACCTCTTGTTATTTATATTAATGCTCCATTTGTTTCTGATTTGGCCAGTGGAATTCACTTCTTTTGACTTAAATGTGCTTGTGACATGTCCTCATGGTAATTTTCATTTGTCTGCTTAAATTTCTCTTATTCTCGGTTTCCTCTCCTGTGTGAGTTTTCCACTTGATACTTGCTGTGGATCAGCACATTAGATATCCCAGTTGGTTAAAGTTGTCTGTGGTAGTTAAGATGCTCTGAAAGAACAGAGTAATACATAATTTCAATGGAGAATCTTTGTGCCATCTTGTCCCCTCTACCCAATTTAGGTCAGTGTCCTAGAGTAATGTTTGACAGAGTCCAATATCCATGTAAATAACTATAATGTAACATTATAGATTGAATGACTGCTGGATTTAAACTTTTTTAAATTGAATTTATAACATCGGAGTAACATATTGACTCAGACAAAACTGAGTTTAAGTCCTATCACTTTTTGGGGAATTTGAACATATTACCTTATCTCCCTCACCCTCAGTATTCTTATCATTAAATTGATAACACTGTATAGTCGTTAAAGAGAAAAACAACAGAATAATATGTACTGATGTGAAATGATATTGAGGCTGTATTAATCTGTAGCTCCTTAGCTGAAAGAATAATTCCATAAATGTAAACGTAGCTATCATACCCTAATGAGAAATTCAGGCACTACTACTTTCTGTTACTTCATCAAATGTGTATATAGGCATTAAATATTTGGAATATATTTCACAGATAATGGGATTATATTCAATGTATATACATATAAAACTAACAAATCAATTAAATGACCAATCTGCTAGAAATAATTGTAAATAACAGTAATGTAATTCATGCAAGAAGAAAAATAATAGTCAACATGCAAATATGTAAACATGGCTTATATTAGTAATGATAGAAATAAATATGAAAATATTTTATTTATACTAATTAAATTAGCATGGCCTTAAAACATGATATCTAGTGTTAAAGAAGATATGAACAAACATTTTTATATTGTTTTTGAGAGGGCATATTGGTACAACTTATGTGGTATAAATCTGGCAGTACTAATTATAATTTAAAATATATAAAGAAAAATTAATTATACGTCTGGAATTTATACAGTAGATCCACACAATTATTAAATGTTCCATGTAGTGTAATTTTATAGTTTATTTAATACCTTAATAGCTAATGCCTATTGAGCATTTACTTTTTGAAGGTGTTTTTTTTTTTTTTTTTAAGTTTTTTTTATTTTTCATGTATACAAGAACCAGGTGTGGGATGTGCCACGGCAGTGGGGGGAGGCCCCTGAAGGTGTATTCTAAATGCATTTTTTAGATAGGAAGTTTGGTAAGTAAGTAACTAGTGAGAGAAATACAGACAGATAGAAGGAAAAGCAGAAAGATTTAAAAATAAATACCCGCCCAGCCTCAAAGCAAAAAATGAAAACCCAGAAACCAAAATATTTTTTTCTTATTTTACACAGGAGAAACTAAATCACAGGGAAATTAAGTAAGCAGCTTAAGCTCTTATGCTAATAAGTGGTGGAGCTAAGAATCTCCTTCCCCAAGGCACCCGTGCACCATCACCACAGTCCCCTGTGCTCCTTCCTCCCTCCCTCTGATCCTGCCTCCTCCCCTGTAGTATGTCTCTGATTTATAATTGTCCGTTTTTGCTTTGTTGTGTTTTGTACTGTTATTTTTTTTTACACTGATGTCTTATTTGGTTCCCCTATATTCCTGCTATAAGTGAAACCAACCGATATTTTTCTTTTTCCTTCTGGCTTATTTCACTGAGCATAATTCCTTGTAGCTCTATCCACGTTGCTGCAAATGACATAAGTTTATCTTTGTTGATTGCTGAATAATAGTCCGTTGTGTATATATACCACATCTTCTTGATCCAGTCATCTATTTTTGGGCATTTGGGTTGTTTCCAGGTTTTACCTATTGTAAATAGTGATGCAATAAACATAGGTGTGCAGGTGCTCTTTTTGAATCACTGTTTTTGTGTCCTTTGGGTAGTTCCCTAGGAATGGAATTGCCGGATCGTATGGTAGTGGAGCTAAGATTTAAACCTTAGCCTCTGACTGCACCCTGTCAGTGTGCTATGTAGCTGCCATTGCCAATCTATGAAGGACTGCTTAGTGTGTTATTTTGTATACACACAGTAAATATTATGCTGCTATTAAGGAGAGAAAAACCGGAGTACTTTGTATTAATGTAAAATGATAAGATACATTATAAAATGAAAAAAAGCAGTATATAATATAGTTTGGAGTTTATGGTCTTAAAAAAAATGGGTATGTTCATGAATGCATCAAAAAGCATATATCAAACTTTTAATAGCTGTATTTTAAGGGTGAGAAGAGATATAAATGATTCGTTTAATATTCAAGTTTTATAATTTGTTTAAAATTGTATTGATCTTACATTAAATACTCAAATACGTGAGAGTAGATAGTAAAATTTAATATAACTTATTAATATAGTCAAAAAAGGTGTTTCTGTTAAAGCTTCAATTTTCATGTATTTTATCGTTTACTTCTTTTGAAGTAGTGTAGAAATTAAATCTCTGCCATATCTTCAGCAAGAAGCTTATTAACTTCATTAGGACACATTTTAAAGGGTTTATTGAAATGGAAAAAAGGGGAAATTTTGGTGATTGTATTTTTTAAGATGTTTGGAACTTAGGTGTCTGGTATGCCTTTTGACATAGTTGTCTGATGGCAAGCAAACTACTGTGTTTTCCCCCCTTCTTTTTCTTAGCAAGAGGCACCTTTTGTAAAACTATTTTTATGCTGCTGTAGACCAGTGGAATATCTTTGGGCATTTCAAAGCATCCCTCTGATCATACATTTATCTCTGGAATGCTGTGTCAGAAATCACAACTCTCCTCATATCTTAAGAATTATCAACTTCCAAGCAATAGCTGGAAAGTTTAGAGTAACAGCTACATGAGTGGAACCTTGCTGAAAGGCTGCCAGGTTGTGGGCCTTTGTGGATGGCAAGGTGTTGGTGTTCATTCCCATGCCAAAATTCTTGCCCTTATCTAATTTGAAGATCCTCTCTGGTGATTAGTGGATGCAAGAGATTTATCTTGATAAAGTTCAAGGGCTTGTCTGACTTTTCAGCTAGATCCTTAGAGACTGAAATGCTAGACTTGAAATGCTCTTTTCTTCTTTAGCAAACTATTTGCATGTTAAAAAAAATGCTCTTATGTCAGAGTTAGTAATATTTGAAACTGATGTAATTCTCCAATGGAACTTCTGAACTTCAGTGATCTGGAATACATTGTTCCTCTTTGTTTTTTAATAAAAGAAATTTTAAAAAGGTCTCCTAGTTCAGGTTAAAATAATGTCAACAGTGTTTTCACTATTTGTGGAACTTTAGGAAAATAATTTCTTTGTTATCTGTATAATGGGGATGATAATACTTAGTACTTATTTCATTTGTTGTTATAATTCATTTATGTCCCCGTCACAGTGCTTCATAAGTACTAAATATTCATTAAAGATAGTTCCTAAAGAAAATAAATCAACATGTGCAATTTTGTACTATAAATATTTGGGTTTTAATTGAAATTTCAGAAACATAGCTTGACTATCGAAAAGACCTATTTTTATCCTAAATTTTTTATATCAAGTGCGTTTTGTTAATATTGGTGACAGATATTTAAAATTTGGGGCAAAATTATTTATCTCTTAAATATTGAGAAGGGTTTCAATTTCTCTCTTAAATAGGAATTCAAGCTGTAACCTGAGAATGATGCCAGAAATATCCCCAGCACCAGTGCCTAGCATCTGGGCTCTGTCAAATGCGTGTTATGTTTTCCAGAGCATTTTATATAAATGTGAAGTGCTTAGTCTTTGTATGGTCAGTCTTGAAGTATAGTAAATTTACATTTCTAGATTTTTTTTTTAACTGTAGGCCATGCTTCACTAATTTACACTTACATAATGAGATATATACATATATATAGAGAGAGATTGATTTACACATAAATGATAAATACAGTAGCAGTTATTTTACATGGACACTTAAAGTGTTGGTATAGAGAATGACAGTATCTTGGACTATGTCTATTAATGTCCTTTTACTTGGATCATAATTATTTTGATTTTGCTTTAGTTTTTAATGTGACCCATTTATTATGTTACTTCCTCAGAAATGATTTGACTTAGTGGATTTGGAAAGTGATTTTTTTTTTTTGTTTCACTCTTACGTACTAAGGACATACCCGGGATAAAGGATGTAATAACTCTTTGGATTTGTAAGCCAGTTTATATATATTTTTTATATTTTATGTATTTTTTTACATAATTTTTCATTTTTGCACAAAATATGCATTTTCATCTTGGTTATATTCTCCATACAATTCCCCCCCCATTTCCCCATATTTTGACCCTAATCCCTCCACCCCTGTACACAACCCCCTTCCCCCGTAGTGTGTCTCTAGTTTATAGTTGCTTGTTGATTTTGATTTTTACTTTATTATAATTAGTCTTTTTCCTGGTCCCTTATTTAGATTTTCCAAATTCCTGCTGTGAGTGAGACCCTCCGGTATTTTTCTTTTTCTTTCTGACTTATTTCGCTGAGCATGATCCCTTCTAGCTCCATCCATGTTGCTGCAAACTGCATGTGTTTATCTTTTTTGAATGCTGAGTAATATTCCATGGTATATATGTACCACATCTTCTTGATCCAGTCATCTGTTTTTGGGCATTTGTAAGCCAGTATATTTTTATTTTTTAGTAGTAAGGCATAATTTCAATTCTTGGAAATCTTTATTGTCACTGCTTATAGATGATTATAGCATACAGAGTTGTGTTTAAATGCTTCTAAGATAGAACTGATGGTTGCATAATTCTGTAATCATACTAATAACCATTTAATTGTACATTTTAAGTGAGTGAATTTTATGGTGTGCGAATAATAATAATAATAATAATAAAAAGATCATTATGAACAGTTCAAATTAGAACAGTTCAATTTAGACAAACCTGGAGTTGTCAGGCAGTTTTGCTATTTACTTTGGCAAGTTATTTTACCCTTCTGAACTTTACTTTGTCTTTTTTCCCACTCCTATCTCTTACATTCCCTTGTCTCTTTCTGTTCTACTACCTCCGCTTTAACATTCAACCTCAGAGCCATCAGGATGTTTATGAATGTGTGCTAGTTTTTGAGTGCTTTATGTTATTGAATAATCTGCTAAGTAAATGTCCAAATACTTGTTTTCATTGTTCTGATTTGCTTTGCTATACATAATTCTCTCAGATTCTCCCTATTTTGTTGAAAATGGCTGCATTTTATCCATTCTTATGAGTATATAATACTCCATGGGGAATGTATATACTGTATATCCTGGATCCATCGATGGGAATTTATGCTGCTCTTACGTCCTAGCTATTGTAAATAATGCTACTGTGAACTTTGTGGAACATATTATGTGTTTTTGTGTTGATGTTTCATATTCTTTGAATAGATGCCCAAGAGTGGGATTGCTGGGTTGTATGATATTTTCCTTCTTTAAGATTTATTTATTTATACAAGCACTGGGGTACAGGCCAGAGGTGCTGGGAGGGTGAGAGAATCCACCAGAGACAGAGCAGGAAGCAGAATAGGCAGAAGGACTGAAATACTCTGCTGAGGGGAGCAACGGGCAAGGCAGGAGAAGTCTGCTCTACCATGTGGGACTCTCCCTGGCCAGTCAGGAATCGAACTGGCTCTGTAGAGGCTGCGGACAGCTTCATAGTGCTGCGCTCAACCCACTGCACCACCAGGGAGGCCCCCTTCTTAGTTTTTTAAGGTAAATCCAGATTGGTTTCCATAATGGTTGCACCAGTTCCTATTCCCACCAATAATGTAATAGGGTTCCTTTTTCTCCATATGTTCTTCATCACTTCTTGTTGGGAATCTTTTTAATATGTACCATTCTCATGGGTGTGAGATGCTATATCATTGTTGCAGGTCTGATACCAGATCTTTAGTCTGGAGTTTATTTTTGTGTACGGGGTTAGTGAGTAATCCAACTTCATTCTTTCATGCGTAACTTTCTAATATCCCAGCACCATTTTTATTTATTTTTTAATTTTTAAAAAATTGAGGCAACATTGTTTTGAATTGTTGTATATGATTTAGAGGTATAGGACCGCATGCACCCTTTAGGTTTATTTTACCACATCATACCCAGCACCAAGGCACCTTTTAATCTTCACCAAGGTCAACTGTGGCCCCTCCACACTGTGCTCTCCCCTCTCCCCTTCCCTTTCCCTATCTTTAAAAAGATTGTCTTTTCCCAGTTTTATGGTCATAGTTGCTGTATCATACATCAGGTGCTGTATGTACATGGATGTTTCTGGGTAATTTTTGCTTTTTTCATTTCTAAAGTGGAAGTAAGATGTGTGTTTTGAGAATTGAGTTATTAGCGCTTAGTCATAAGTTATTAATAATTTATTAGCTCATATAATGGGTTCATGTGGGAGCACGAAAGAATAGAGCATTACCAACTTTGACTTGGGGAGTCTGGGCAAACCTGCCATTGAGCATTGTTTTGTTTTTGCCCCCGCAGCCTCTGCAGCACCGGTTCAATCCCCATCCGCCGGTGAGGGTCCCACATGGCGCGCAAACCACTAGTGCTTTTTAGATTCATTCATGTTATGTTTATCAATAGTATTTTTAAAAATACTGCCATAGTTTTAATTCATTTTCTCCTTAAAATATTCTGGACTGTTTCTATTTTTGTTATAAATAAGTTATAAATAAGTCTCCCAACAGTCCCAAATAAGTCTGTTATAAATAAGTCTTCCAACAGTATTGTATTCATCTATTGTGGACATAAGTTATCGTGGGGAAATCCTTAATGGTGGAATTGTTGGCACACAAAACATCATTATATGTCTTAAATTTCAGTTACAGAGAAAGCAATTTCACTTTCCTAAGAACTATTTTCTGCTGCTCTGATCAGTGCACTTAACCTGTTATCTGAGTAAACCAGATCTTGCTAGTTCTTTTTTTGGTGAATAAATGTGAAAGTAAATTCTCCATATTTCTCCTCCACCCTCCTTCCCCTCAAAATAGATTGCTATATACTATGTAACTAGAGATTTTTTTAAAAAAAGCCATATACTTGTAAATTTCTGCTTTAATTTGGAAATATACAAATGATATTTTGTATTGTTTTCTGAATGTGCCACCAACACACATGTGTACACATACACACAGAGGCACATATGCATGTGTGCACAGAGGTCATATCTACTCCCCTTAAAGTCAATAATCTTCATCTGATATAAGCTGCTGTGATTTAAGCACACCATTTTGGATTGAGGGCTCAGGTGGCTGTTGCTTCTATTTTTTAGTGTATAGTTAACATTGGCAGTCACCCTTATAATGATGTGACACCAGCTACCCCCAAGTACATTGAATAAACCATGCCTAGCACAAGAGAACTTGATTTAATTGGCAACAGTGTTTGCAGTCACATGATAAGCACTGAAGTAAAACAACCTATTTTGCTCTCTCTTCTCTTTGATATAACAACAAAAATAAAATGTATTTTTAAAGTACTGGAATTACATAATTTCCACCTTTGAATGCATTTATTGGGATCAAGCTTCTAAGTAACTTTATTTAGAAACTGAATACTTTAAAGCTGTTAAGGGAATACTTGAAGCTTGCAGTTACAATATTGTCAACAAAAGATGTGATTAAATAAATTGAATTTTGAAGACTTTAGGCTTATGGTTAACACCAGGTAATTAAAAGTAAGCACTGCTGTGGGAGTGCATTATATATCTGCTGTCCTCTTTACCTCATTAACTGGGTTTTTACATGTTTATGGAGCTAACTTCAATTAAAAATGCTTTTAAAGTTATCCCTAATAAGGTCTTTTAGTTACTATTTTTGTATAAAGTATTACACCTTAATTAAAATTTGTATATCATAAATACCCATGTTTGAATAATACACAAGATGAAAAACAATGTTTATTTGATATATTTGCACTAGTTCTTATACCTATGCATTATTTCTTCTATATAATATTACAAATGACAGTTCTTGGGATTAAAACAAAAAAATGGGATTGTGTATATATTAAAAAATATATCTGCCTTTATTTTTTTATCTTACAGATTTCTAAGGTTTTATGATCTCAAATTAGCAGTGCTTTAAAAGCCTTGTAGAAACATGTTGAGTTATCTGCTTCAATTTAGAGGTTAAAAAAATTGTTTTTCCACTTAAGTGCCAAATTCTTTCTTTCATACCTTTTGTTAAATTTTATTTAAATCATATAATTTAAAGTGTTTCTGGATTTAAAAATTACTATATATTGTAAAAATAAGTTTAAATGTTAAAAGCAATCTAAAACCATAGAACATTGTCTTGATTCTACAATAATTTAAGGGCTGATAAGTACCAGCAGTTTTGAAGCGATTTCTTATTGAGAAAATATTGTAAATTGTACTTCGGAACAGACATGCTGTAAGAAAGAAAATTAGAAAAGTTAGTTTCCTGGTTTATTTTGAAATTCATGTAATGAACTTGAGTGAATTTTTTGTATTTTAAAATTTATTACTTTGTTTATTATAGAAGTGTCATCATTGCAACAAAAAAATCAGCGGTCTTACCTTCTGCGTCTACTGCGAGTGTACCTACGAATGCAGTCAGTGTGGTTTCTTCAGTAGATTCAGGCCAAACCTCAGATGTGGCAGGAGAATCACCTGGTGAGTTAGATGTCAGGGATTTCAGTGAAAAGGTTTTTAAACTTCATTTCAGCAAGATTTGGGTTATTTGATAGAATTAAGTTTTATTAGGCATGATTTAAGTCATTGTGTTTTTATATTACACTGTTGATGTATAGTTTTAGAATAAAATTGAAGTAACATCAAATTAATTATATCAAGGATTCTGTTGTTTTCTCTGCTTAAATGTACTGTTGTATGTGAGTACTCTGGATGTATAAGAGCATGAATGAATGACAGTTTAGAATGCTTCTTTCCTTTCCCTTCCATATACACATCTATGTGTATAGATAGTGGTTTATATAAGAAAGTTTTGGTGACATTTGATCTTTTAATCTGGTTATCAATTATCAAATGTTTATGTAGTATCCAGCACTTTTTTTCCTTTTGCATATTATTGTGAGAGACTCAGAACGGGAATGCTGCCCTGATGTATAAAGTCATTCTAGCAGTAGTCATAGTAATGTAATAACTTTAACAGCCATTTGTTTTTTCTCCACCTCTCTTTATATTTCTTTTAAGTAGTAAAGGCTTCTTGGTACATGTATATGGGTACAGGATCCTAAATCCCTCGATGTTGTCTAGAAGTTTGGTGATAATTAGAGGTAAACAAGACGACCATGTAATATTAAAATAAACACGTTAGAACAAAGGAGGTATTTTCTAACAGTAGTATTTTTCCAAATAGACCGTTTTATTAAAAAAATATTAACAACTAGTGTACCAAAAAAGGATTCAGTCTTGTTACTCTATAATGAGTCTAATGAAACATAAAAGGGATTTTGAAGGCATGACTAGGTGAATTTTATTAAAATCAGAAATAATGTATTTCCTTTGTCTTTTGGGATCTCTTAGGCCTCCTATCTGCTGTTTTACCTTTCTTTGAAAAACTCTGTGTCTCAGAGTTTTGTTTCTAATGTGATATTTATACTATCCAGTTGTCAGGGACATTTTTATTTTTCCTTTCTTTGTGCCATAAATCATGTGTACTAGAAACAAAGGCTGTGATTGTCTAATTCTTTTGTCTACCCTGTTTTTTCCCTTCACTGTAGTTATTTCACTTGTGTGAGGAAAATATTTTTTAAATGCACTTAGTTCCTTAAAAATTTCATAATGTTTCATAATAAGAGAAAAAAATGCTCACAGTTGGTTAAATAAAAAAAATTCTATGTGTTACTTAATCACAATTTTGTGAAATACACATCTTTTATCTGTGGAAAAAGCAAGAAATGTACTGTGAAGATACTTATCTCTATGTGGTTGAACAGCTCTCAGTCTTCATTTTCAGAGTTTAATTTTACTATCTTCATCTTTTCAACAATTTTATCAATGATAGTGTATTATCTTTACATTGAGGAAAAAAATAGTTCTTGAAAAAAAATTGGTACACCTGGCAATCAAAAACTGCCTCTTATTAACATTTTTTGAAATTAATAAACCTTATTGTTTAGGTCTTTTTAGATTCTATAACTTTAGTTTTAGGTTACAGAAAAATTGAGTAGAAAGTACAGAACTTCATCTACTCCTTATTCCTCTGTTATTAATATCTTGAAATACTGTGGTGCGTTTGTTATAGTATTTTATCCTTGTTCTTAAGTTGGAAAGTAAGTGTAGAACTCTAGCAGATTTTTTTTCGCTTCCTTATTGTTGTACTATATTGGAACAATATCTGATGCTTTTTTTTACTTTGGAGGAGACAATTTGGCAATCTATTTTTGGACTGGGTATGCAAATTTCTGCTAATTAAACCCATCCAATGCCCTTAAAAAAATCAGCTGTGATTTTTCTAGAACAGCCCTTAATGGAAAAAGGTAGAAGTTAGTTGTATCTATGAATCTCTATGTCATTTTTAAAATTCAGTATAATGTGTTCCTCATATTCCCAGAACAAATTTTGTAATTTCAGAGGTTCACAGTACAAGTAAAATATTTTAATCTTATTTTGAATGCATTGTTCTTTAATTTCATTGTATGGGACAAATAAGAATCCTCTTATTGATTTTAAATATATTCTTCAAAGTTTAAACCAAGCAATCTTCAGAAGAGATAAGTAGCAAAAAAGACTCAGATAGGCAGTATTTGAAATAAAACTGTAATAAATTTTTTCTGAAGTGATTTTTCCCCTCAGTAAATTCATTATCATATGAAACAGTCATATATAGACTAACCATACATAGACGTATAGAATAATTTGTTATATTGAAAACTGTGGTATATATTAGCAAACCTTACAAAACTTTGTATCTAATTGATAATGAACTTTTCCTCCCTATTACTTAAATTTTGTACAATTTTTGGCGGTTGTGTTTTTCAGAAGTTCCCAGGTTTGTCAATTTTGGACTATAATTTTTAGGTCTTTCCTCTTCTCTATTCTCCCTTATCTTTATTTTTTGAATAATTTATTTCTTTTAAGGGTATACCAAATCATCTTTATGGTGATAACCTTTCTCTTTATCGTTTGTTTTCCATGCCTGACTCTTCCATTCCTTTTTCCTTTCCCTATTTTACTATGCTTAATGGCACTGTTTTTTTGTGTTAATTTTAGTTTATTTCTTCTATTCCATTCCATTCCTTGCTGCCTTGAACATCACTACTTTCTTTTCTTTTCTTTAAAAAGATCCATCTATTCATGCATATAAAAAGTGGGGTACAGGCCAGATGTGCGAGAGGGTGAGAGGATTCACCAGAGACAGAGCGGGGAACAGAACAGGCAGACTGATGAGATACACTGCTGAGGGGAGCAGCGGGTGAGACAGGAGAGGTCCGCTGCACCTTGTGGGATTCTCGCCGGCTGGCCAGGATCGAACCAGTGCTGCAGAGGTTGCGGACAGCCTCACAGTGCTGCGTTCAACCGCCTGCGCCACCAGGGGAGGCCCAGCATCACTACTTTCTTAAGAAATAGCTAACCCAATGTTGTGTTTTCAGTAATCCTACTCCTTACTCTCCTAACCCTACACTTGACATCCTTTTACACACCATACTTACCCTATATCTTGCTCTCTTTTCATTTGGAATCCAGACGCCACAGATAGTTATCGGCACACCATCAATATCTACAACTGATAGATTTTTGTTTTCTTTTTGATGCATCTCTTGATTTAACTTGACTGTAAAGAAAATTAATAGGCCATATATATACCATCTATATATGGTTTATATGTATAAATATATATATATATTTGGTTTATATTTTCCTTCTTCAGGTTCAAGCAGGACTTGTGAAAAAATGGTTTGTGAATGAATTGATTGTTGTAATTGCATGCTGAGCTGGACAGTTTATTCTTGCAGATCTGAGCAAGCTTGGTATTAATCTTGGTTTGTTCTTGGATTCTTTTCTAAATACGAAAGTTTAGTTATCATCTGTCTGTGTAGACCTTAAAACTTTGTGCTTGGGATCCCTTTAGTTCTGAATTTTATCATGAGCCAACAGCAAAGAATGACTGCTTAAATTCATTAATAAATTATTGGGTTAATAAAAATATATGCTCAACAGTATGTGCTGCATTAACAAAAATGGAAATTTCCTGTAAGAAACCATATGAATATGAAGAGTATGAGATTGTTGCAGAGAAATTTAAAATGGAAATTTTGATGTCAAAATGAGATTTCTGAATTTCATAGTTGGCAGAAGTAAAGAGGAACTAAGACTAGATGGACTCTGATTCCAGAAAAAGAATTAGACCTGATCAACTTCATGTGAGATGAAAGATTCTTCTGTAAAAATATTACCAACATAATTTTATAGTTAGTGAAAAACAAAGGATTTGTACATTTACATTGTAAAAGTATTCATTATTAAAATTAGTATACAATTAACATACAGATTTCAGATTTTATTTTAAATCTTAGCATCTACAGTATTTTATTAGCAAAAAATTAATCATAATAGCAAATTTTCCTTAATAAGTGGTAAAAAGTATTTGCCACTGAAGAAGGTATGCATGTTTTCAAAGAAAATGTAAAGAAAAAATAGTTTTTAGTAAACATGAAAATCCAGACATTTTTTTTTTTCAAATCACGTTTATTGAGATAAAGTTGGTTTGCATCGTATTTGCTTTGACAATTGTAGGTTTAAACCTCTAATAATGTATGCTTTAAATCTAGAAATTTAAAAGTTACCCACCAGCAAATGCTAAAATGCCTGGACTACAGTATGCTTTCTTCATGTTAAGATGCCATTACTCTTTTTTTCAAATAGGTTACAGTTTTTTCCTACATTGGCGCAAGGCATCAATGACTAAAACAAAAGTTAAAGCTAGCCCAGTAATGAAACTAAATATACTGTTCTTCAGTAATTCATGTGAAATTTTTTGCTAATTTGCCAGACTGAATAATTATACTATTAGTAGTATAATTATATTAGAATGTTAGATTATATTCTTTTAATCAGTCATCCATGCATGTTAGTAATTAATGTTTGTTTTTAATGTTGAAGGAAGATATTTGATTATTTGCTTTTATGAGATGTGACCCAAGAGGCTTACTCACTCAGTAAAAGTTTCTTTTATTTAATGAGGCGTTTTTACTGGACATGTGGACTATCCCTCCCTAGCCTAGTCCAGAATGGGTAGGAAGAGAATGAGGAAGGGAGACAAAGCGAGGGAAATTTAAAAAAGTACAGTGTTTAGGAATTAAATATTGGCATTTGTTTTAATGATACTTTATTGTACAACACATTATTTATTTAGACCCTTAGGGGCCTTGAGTAAACAATTGACTGTTCCCTGGGTAGATACTAGGCATATGATCTATTTGCATTTTTTTTTGAATGTCTGGAAAATTATCAGTTTAAAGGAGTCAGTTTATCAATGCAAGGATAAGGGAAAGATAAGTCATTATCATTCCACATGTTGGAAGTAGCTTCTGTGTTTACATATGCAGGTCATCTGTTGAAAATATTTAATGTTAAATGATTTTAAAACAATGAACTTGTCACAAATTCATGATTTTTGTTTGAGTTGAAAAAATGCAGAATGTTTGGAAATTATATTTTCTCTCTGCCAAGAAATTACTTATATACATAGTGTATATACTTATATATATACTTATGGTATGAAATTACTTATATATTTAGTTTATTTTTTCATATCTTTTGTTAAATATATAATTATTGCTGGTTAATTTATTTACTTGGTTAAGTGCCTTCTTTCTATATAAAAACAACACTTTGTAAGAATCTTTTTCTGCTATAATTACTTCTAGGTTTGAAATGAATCTAGGGTAGTGTCAGGAAAGTATTTTTGTTATTGTTTTATTTAGCGTCACCAAATCTTATCTTTCTCAAGTTTTTAATGTGTATTTCAGCTCATTAAAATTAGGATCTATCAGAACATTAAGTCCTAATTTTGTATCACTAGTGCTGAAAGTTCCATATAGACCTTTTTTTTGAGATTTATTACTTTCAAGTAGATGGAACATTATGTATATCCCTTTTTAACCAACTCAGAAAAGTTCATAAAAAACAATTGTTTTTCTCTTAGAGAAAATCTGATTTGCTTACTATCAATTAATATCAGTGACCAACTATGGTTTAATGATCATATTGTTGTCAAGGCTTTAGAAAATCTAGTCCTCATTAACAGCGTGATAAAGCTGTTGAGTCTCTGAAGTACTTTCAGTGAGTGTTGCATAGGAATATAGATTGGACCTGCCTCTCAGAAATGCCAGATACTGAAGAGTGAACATTTTTTTCAACCTCACCTTGTTTCCCCTCTAATTTGAAGTTTTAAAACTATAAAAATGGAAATCTTTATTTTTGGAGGGGAGATGTGAGTTGATACATGTATTTAAAAAACTATCAGTATGAAGAAATGTATACTTTAACTTCATTTTAAAATTAAGTCCCTGAGTTACATAGATGACTTTCAGTCTCTTAGGTTTTTGTAAATAGCAGTAGTTCTCTCTCAAATTGAGCAGGAGAGGATATGAAGAAAATCAGAAATAAACAAAAATGCCAGGAAAAAGAAAAGTCAACTTTGATTATCAAATGTGTTGTGGCATAGTGATTCACTAGGATTAAGTTCATCTTTCAGTAGGATTATGCTTACTCTTAAGAGGTAGGCTCAATAATTAATGGGGGGTTAATTGTAAAAGATAGCCGCAATGCCCTAGCCTCAAAGGAACCAAGCCCATGGGGAATTAAACTGTAAAGATTTTTAATCCTTCATTGACTGAGACCTGATAATCAGAACTATTGATTTTTGATCAACTTCTTTATCTAAAGACCAAGCATGATTCAGTATTTTGTTTCAATTAAAAAATAGTTTCCTTATATATCTTTATTGCCATTTGGTGTTGAATAGAAGGAATTATCACCACAATTTGGTGAGTCAGAATTTACTTACTCTTCAGCTTAGGAACAGAAGGAAGACTGTTTGGCATTATAATTAAAACTTCTTGAGATGTATATGTTAAATGTTCAAGAAAATCTAATGAGAAAACCTTTTTGCTAGATTTTAATATTATTCAAATTATAACATGCACTTAAAAATGCATTGTTTTTTGTTGACTTGGCTATAAAGATATTCTTTTTGTTTGAACTCATATCTAAAAACAAAGTTCCTATAAATTGTTATTTTTCCTATAGGTGGAAGATCATCGAATGCAAAATTGCCCTCAGTTCCAACAGTTGGCTCAGTTCTACAAGACCAAATTTCAAATATGAGGTATTCAAGCTACTAACTTGAATATTTGTAACTTATTCCTTTTGATGACTTTTTAAACTTTGGGCACATTTTTCTCTCTCCCCCACTCCTGCCCTATCCCTTCCTCTTCCCTTTCTCCCTCACTCTCCTTTCCCCCTCCCCCACTTTCCTTTTTTTTTTGGTTTGTTAAAAAAAAAAAAATACACACACACAATGTTCAACCATGAGATGTAGAAGGTTCATGAAGAATGGCTATTTAATAAACATTGTATACATAACATTATTTACACAGATTATCAGAAATTTATGGCTTATGTTTGTGAGACTGTAAATTTGTAGTTGGGAATTTGCTCTCCCTTTTCTATAGAAATGCTGAAATATAATAATAGCTAGTCAGCCAAAGCCATACTGATACAGAATTGTAGATTTTTATTGTCATTTACCTCATTTAATTGGGAATATGTACTTCAAATTATAATTTGGAATGCTGTGAATATTTTCCAAAGTATAGACACTTGAGTGCTGCAACTTTAGCCTTATAGCTGTAAAGTCATCTGCTAAGAGGCTACATGAAATAAGCAGGGAGGAATAGTATTAAGAGTAGTACCAGGGGAAATGAGGTTATTGATAAAAGAAATTTCCAGAAGTTTACCTGTTGATAGTTTCAGTAGCAACTTTTATTGGCAGTGTGGATGGAGAGTACCCCTTGTGTGAATGGTAGGGAGTTAGTATTTATTTGTTTTTAAAATTTTTTATAACAATTTATTTATGCATAGGCCAGAGGTATGTGTGTGTGGGGGGGTGTGTGTGAGAGGATTCCCCAGAGATAGTGTGGAGCAGAAAAAAGTGGATTCACTGAAATACACTGCTGAGGGAAATAGCGGGTGAGACAGGAGAGGTCTGCTATGCCATAAGTGGGCTAGCTCCCTGGCCGGGATCAAACTCAGGCCACAGTGGTGATAGCACTGAGACTCAACCCCTAGGCCACCAGGGTGGCCCAGTAAATAGTGTTTATAGTTAGAAAGTAATGCTGTGTATGTCTTTGAAATTCGTGAAATGAAGGGTCTTTCGTTTAACCCATTAAATATGTATGTGTATATATGTGTATACATGAGTATGAATATATATGCATATAGTCATAAAAACAATGTAAGTTGAGATCATTATAAATGTGCTAGTAATGTGTATAATTCATCTGAGCAGGTATGCTCCAAGGCCTCTGAATAGTATTCAGTCTTATAAAACAATGTTACTTCAAAATAAACAAAGCAAATCCCCAAAGGTTGTTAAGATTGCATTGGAAAGAAACTGTTATAAACTTCAATAGAAAACTGGTTCTTTTAGTTTATAAACATCTACTGAGTCCATACTAGGTACTGCAACTGAAAACTTAGAAATGAAGACAGTTCTTGAACTCAAAGTGCTGATGGCTCAGTAGTGAAAAGACAAATTTGCTAAGGACTTTATAGAGTTTGTTTAGATTATATAGGAGCAAATTATTTGCCAAGTGCAAATAATTAAGTGCTCTTAATTGCCAGTTAGGATTTCCAACAACTGAGGCTTGGAGTGATTTTTAATCATGTTGTTTGGTGGCAAGATAGAACACAATACAAAAGAGTATGCCAGGTAGAAGTAATGTATGTATAGCAATAGGGAGTCTTTAGGTCATTGTTAATTTTTCACTTCTGTGGAAACTCAGGTTTTGTTTTAAACTCAGAAATTGATAAATTCTGATGACTAGGTCAGGCAACTTAATATCTTTCTATTAGTATTACAGAGAGGCTTGAACATGCTTTGGAAAAGGCAGCTCCTCTACTGCGAGAAATTTTTGTTGATTTTGCACCTTTTCTTTCTCGGACACTTTTGGGTAGTCATGGACAAGAACTCCTTATAGAAGGGACAAGTAAGTTATTTTTCTTTCTTATTTTACATATATGCTTAAATTTCAAGATTAAAACTTACATGGCTAACAGAGATACATGGAGTATCATCAGGTGCTTTCAACTTTTGACAAGACTTTTCATACATAGACTAGTCTGTCTTCTGAAATCTGTGATTTTTTATTGATTTGAATGTAGCAGAAAATTATTTATTGCACCAAAATATTTTTACATATTAAAATTAACTGAGAATAAAGAATTAGAAAGACTAGTGTTAATGTAATTAATTAGCGCATTTACCTGGGATATTACTTGAACTTAAGATGCATATAAATAAAGTATATTTCCACATAGTAAGAAAATGATGAATGTATTTTTATCTCTATTAGAATTCTCATTTACAAGTAATTAGAAATAGCATTATTGTATGCTATCCTGCTTATAGCATACATAGATTACTTTGAGTTTGTATTAAAGTAGAAAGCTTGCAGAAGTAGGTTGCTGAGTGATTGGAAATCATGCTATTCATGGAATGGATGAGGAATAATGGGATATTTGTTTATTTTTTACATGGTAAACTTACTGTGTAATGAGTGTCTCCAAATATTAGAGTAATTTGACCTAGTGAAAGTAGACATACCCTGAATTTCCTCAGATAGCAGATCAATTCTATTGAGAACAGCTTTTCAAACAATGTTAGTTATACTTAAAAGCTTAACAGATAAACTTCAAAATATCTGTCTTCATCTCAATAGCTGGAATTTTTTAAAGGAGAAATTAGAGGAATTTGTAGTACTGTTTCCATCAAAAGTATTGTTAGCTAAATCTGTCTTGTCTGTGTCCATGGTTGGTACTTTAGGATAAGATACATTTTCCCGAAGCTGAATAATCAAGGGGAAGCACAATTATCTGTACTGCAATTTCTTAAAAATACTCAGCTTCAGTTATCGTAATTTTTTGTTAGCCACTAGATTTGCTTCTAAGGAATTTTTTTAATCTTGTGAAAAAGCTCTTCTTTTGTAGAAATAAGGATAAAATAGAGATGTAAGGTGTGGGGGTTGATAGTTAAGGTAACTATTTTGAGTGTTGACTGTGGGATGTCCGTACTTGTATTTGACTCTTAAAAATGCTGTTTATAAGAAGCTTTAGCTAAAACAGGAATTTCATTATGATCTCTGTTTTAGATGTATATCCAGTTGATGATGAATGACCTTATTTTCATATTGTTAAGTAGCATTGAATTTATTTGACAAAATCAATTCAGGTTTAGAAATATTTAATGAAGATAGGGGTAGAGACTATCTTCTGAAGGATATAATTTGTTTAGCCTTAGACTATTTGATCTATGAAGTAATACAATTTGAAAGGAATTGAATTAAAAAATCCAATACTGCTCCTTAATTTTTATTTAAAATATCAAACTTTTTTTAGTGGTATGACAGTTTATAAACTATATTTCATTTTATTGCCATAAAATGGTTGTGTTAATTATAGCCTTTCAGTATAGCAAGACATCATTGCTTTTTAGTTGGTGTCTGAATTTTATAATAGATCCAACAAAATAGCATTATCTCAGGGACTTTGAGATACTAATCTTGCAAATTCTAGATTATTGAACAAAACTGAATTGAGAATCAAATTTTTTGCTGATAAATTCCGGTAAAATGCTAACAGGGAGCATCTTGTAATTTTCTCATCTATACTCGAATAGTGCTTGCCCATTGGACTATGTTTGTAAAAATAGCTATAAAACCAAGTTTTTATGTATAATTTATGTATTTTAAGTGTGAGGAATGTTTTTCATTGTGTGTGTATATGCCACATCTTCCTTACTCAGTTATCTGTGCATAGGTACTTAGGTTGTTTCCAAATCTTAGCTGTTGTATATAATGCTATAATGAACATGGAAGGGCATGTATTTTTTGAGCTAGTGTTTTTGAATAGCCAGTATACAACCATGTTAACTTGAATGCTATTTGAAAGGCTACAGAATGTCAACATGAGCCATCAGTAGGTATGAGACATTATGACTAAAAGAGAAAGGGAGATCTAACTACCGAAGAAGATTAAAGAAAGGCAATAGCATAGGCTAGGATGACTGCAAGGGCTTTAAGTGGGGAGAAAGAAAAAAGGTACTATCTATCTGTAGGGTGTGTAAGGAAGTTATTTTAGTTGTTACATCCAAGATCCTAAACTTGGGTTTGCTTAGAAAAATATAGACTAAAAATTTAATTTTTTGATTTAATGTTTTAGTACTTTTAATTGTTCACATTGCTTTTTAAAGATACTAGTTATAAAATCTTTGAATGAAATACTTTAGGTTTTGTTGGTAATTAAAAGTCAAGAATTCCTCAGATAGGTTATTAACTATATACAAGTTCCTTCCAGAGATATTTTTGGTGAACCAAAATGAAACATAAAAGAGAAAATGTAAATGAATTTATAAGAAATACAGAATATGTAGCAGACAACGACTTGCACTTCTGTTAAGGTTTAGTGTGAGGTCACAGGTCAAGGTACTAATAAGAGTGTTTGGGATGTCTGCTGCCATGAAACAAAATGGAAACTTGATTGATAGCTGGAAGGTTGAAGGGAGAGAGTGTGGTGGAGAAAGCAAAGGTCAGGGAGCCATTTCCCTTCTCTGCATGTATAACAATCCGCTCTCTCCAAAACAAAATGTAGATGATATTGATCAATATGGCATATGTTACACACATTTCTACGAGTATTATGAAATGTCATTATATATGAAGTTGTAATAAATGTTTTAGTATTTTGAAAGCTGAATGAAATAGTTTATAAATGATGGTAGTTTTGATGCCAAAAGTAATTGAAGAGCATCTTGTGTACACTTATGATTTGGTTTTTAGCAAGATGTTAAATTTTATTTTAAAAATCAATTTGGACAAAGTATAAAAAAATGAACCTCTCATATTTGCATTTTACTTAGTAATTTTTTTTTTAATTCTCTTTAGGTCTTGTATGCATGAAGTCTAGTAGCTCAGTTGTGGAATTGGTTATGCTACTGTGTTCTCAGGTGAGTTCCATGAATAAAAGTTTAATTGAATGTAATTCTCGCATGAATTTATTTTGCAAGGAAGTTCTACTTGAGTTTTTAGATTTTTTTTAAACTGTAATAGAATTTTGAGTATGCAGCTTTAAAATAATATGTATTGCAAAAGGACTACTTCTTGGCTTTGATTTTGAAGCAGATGATTTTAAAGTGAGTCTGAGAAAACTCATGTAGACAAATAAGAAACAGAGGTTTTTAGAGTCATATTAAAGAAAAAAATCCAGATCAGATGATCTTGATAGAGATGGCTAGACTTCTTTAGAGGGTATATTAAGGTTATAGAAACAGATTTATTTTTATACCTTGTAGAGTGCCACTCTGAATCCCCTGGGAATAATGGGTTTACTTCCCTTTTGTGCAGGGGTTATAAAATGAGTGATAAATAATTTTGAATTCTTGTCATTGCTAATTATTTTTGACATAGAGTAGATTTGGGGAGAAAACAACAAAAATATGGCAGCCTTCATGATAATAAAATGTGGTGAACAAATTTCTAAAAGCAAAAATATTACTTTCAAAGTTCAGAAACCTTATATCTCATAAGGTAAACTTCACTGATTTTCTTAAAAACATAAAGGTTGTGTATCCTGTGATGTTTCTTTTCTGTTTTGTAATTAAACAGATGAATGCTTTTATTGAGAGTTTTCTTTGTAGTCTTTTAAAAATGATATCTTGCTGGTAGTAAATTCCCCTACTTAAAACTTTAAAATAGCCTTTTTTAATAGGAAGGGTATTGGTCTAGAGGTCAAGGGTTCTGACCCATTTCAAAACCTTTGACCTTCATTTACAACTCTTATGGTTTACTTGCCTGACGAATAAGGATAATGCAGAATTAATGTTTCTTTGCATCGATTTATTCATTTTAGTGCCTATATTGCCAAATTTATTTAGACTGTGTTGATGGACATTTCATGAATACAAATTAAAGAATCATAGAAGGTGCGAAAAATCAATACTATGTATTGTCAATAAAATGCAATAAGAACAATTACTCCTAGAGATTGCACTTAATGGCTTTTTGTAATGAACTTGTGAGGGGTAGTTACATTTCTAGTGGACTTATTATTCTTACATTTAGCGAGAGTCTTTTTTTTTTTTTCCTTAACAATTTGATCATCTCCTTTAGAAAGTTCCATTTTTTAAAAAACTGACTGGATAAAAGACCCCATTAAATCATTTGAGTTGAAATAATTGCATATTTATTTCTTGGATGAAAAATATCATATGCCCTTCTAATACCAGTATGAAATTACCCTTACTTTAAAGGAGCATTGCTTGTAATTGTAGATGTTTCGTCACAGAAGTATGAATTTACTTATAATTGTTTCATGGGTGAATTTTGATAATGAAGTTTTACTTTTTAATTTAAAAGAATTGAATATATTTTTAATACATGAAAACTATTTCAAATATAGTATATTATGTAATGAATGTTAGAAGCTGAAAAGATAAAGAATGACACGTAATATACCTATTTGTCATGTGTGTCACGTGCAGCTTAATACTAATCCAATCAAATGGGATATGAAGCTCACTTAGTAGAGTAAGTTGCAAAAGTCACATATTCTCAAGGTTTTTGTTTAAATAAAATACATTGTTAGTTATTTGAAGTCCTTAACATTTTTTATGAGTTCTTCAAAAGTTCCTTGGCATCTCTATAAGATGTAGCACAGTGTGAAAAATGATGTGAAAAATGAAGCCAGAATTAGCTCCAGATGTATACAGATTGTTCTGGGGTGATAATTACATTTTTCACTTTGAATTTTCCTAATTCAAAGAGGTCAGGTTGGCAATCACAAAAGTGATTTATTTTGTTAAGAAGTGAACTGTCTTTTTCTACATGAAAGCTTAAGAAATATGAAATTGAATTTGAAGTCGACATTTTGCAGATACTGGGTGGGGATGGCTGAGTTTGATTGATAATTTTTTTAGTCTGAGATAGGGTGGGAAGTGAAAAGCTACCATCTTGCTAAAATTTTAATTAATTTTTTAAGAGGAGATGGAGAGGATCGAGTGCCAAAGATCGAAAGATCAGGTCAAAAACTCTTTTTTTAATCACATAAATAACGGGATATGCTTATGAACTTAACATCTGCAAATTTGATTTAAAACTTTACAAATTAGTTGTTAATTTCTTGACAGTCAGCCATGTCTGATTATTTTTCTTGAATCCATTCAAAACGTATTTTCTTTTTGCATTCTTTTTAATAAGGTATTTAAATTAACTGTATTTATTGCAAAATAGAATGTGCAGCTTAAATTTAAGTACTGAGAAGATGTTTGCCTTTGGTTTGCAGTCATTAAGATCAAACAGTTCAAATATATTTTTATAAAGCTCCACCCCGGGCTGTGATTTTCAGTATTTACTCATTATAGTTTGATTAGACACTAGTTCAAATATTTATCTCAGTTACATATTTTTACATTGTTAAAGCAAAATATTTTTTAGAATTGAGAAACTTGTGATACTCATCACTAGGTTTTTGAGTGAAGTTAATATATACTTATGGTTAATTACATCAGGTTTATTCATATATGGAATCTCTATAAAATAATTCAAGAACTATTAAGGCTCCAAAGCCTGATTTAAATCTTCTTTACAATAAGGCTATCCATTCTTCAGGAAACTCTACTCTCTGATACACAGAAAAAAATGGAGCAAATTCTTAATTCTCTATCAGATTCAGCTTTTCATAAGCATGTAACATATTTATATCCAGTATTTGTCGTGTATGTATATGCACCTTATAGAAATATATATGAATTTAGAACAAGCGTTAAGTAAACATTTCAGATATTACTCTAGCATTTTGTAAAGTGTTTGTATCTTCCTCATTTGACATTAATATCATTTTTGAAAGAATTGACATTGCATTCAAGGCCACTTTATAAAAGCATTGCGTTGCTCATCCTAATTCAGTCTGACATACATTCCAATAACACTACCTCCCTTCTTGGGTTTAAAGTTAAATTTATGACTGTGCATTGTGAAGTGCATCATTTAAAAATGGTTTCAACCCAAAACATCTAATAAATAAATAATGTGTATGGCTACTCAGTAGTAGACTTTCTAGACTAGAAATCATTCCATCGGATACTCAACAGTCCACTATCGGAGAGGGCTGTCAGATAAATCTTATGGTAGCTGCATTCATGTCCTGTAAATCACATATTATTGTCTGAGCCTTCTGCCAGGTCATCTATTCTTTTCCCATTTATCAGAAATGCATAGAGTATATAGAAAAACTGGAAGCATCATGTAGTCTGGCCTGGCATCCTGTGTGAGTAATTAATTAGCAGCAAAAGTTAATTTAAAACTATGTTAATATGATTTTTTTCCTTTAAAAATTTTACATCAAAATGTGTAGATGGTTGTTAGTTTGGGAAATGTTTCCTTCACGTGAAGGCAATGATACAAGGTTGTTTTGATTCAGATATTTCTTTCTATAGCTGAATTATTAATTTGAAAACTGTTTCCATAGTAAGAACCAAATGTCACCATTGTTATTCTTTCACGTCAGTTTTGTGTTGGACTTTTTACTGCTTGAAAATTTTTTCCTGAATCTTTATAGTAAATGTTGCTCCTTTTCTTTATTCTCTTATAATTTTTCTCTATTTCTACTTTTGCTTTTTGAATTTGTGCCTTTCAAGTATATGACCTTAATGTTATTACTCTTTATCTCATAATTTTTTTTTTTTTTAACTTGTGATGTGTGTTGAGTAAAGTGAACTACAAAGGAAGAAAAAGGCAGACCAATTCTTTATCATGGCACAAAGGTGTCCTTTATTATTAGACCATTCTTACTGTTTGGATTTCATTCTTACCACTTTAGTTGTATATCTGATTTTAAGCAATCTGAACTATGTAAAGCTACCTAAATGTGGTATTGTATTCTTGTGTCTTGGTATGTTTTTCCTTTCCCAGGAATTTCCCTCCAAATTTGGTCACTCTTTAATTGTTGCCTTCTTCTCATCATTCAGAACTCAGCTTAATTTTCTTCTCAGGTCATCTTATCTGCCCACCCATCACAGAATGTGCCACAAAGAGTCTATGTGTTGTAGTTTGTTGCTCTTTTAAAATATTTTTGCTCTTTTAAAATGTTTTTGTACTCTAGGTTTTATGAGGTTCATGATTCCGATTCGCCTATTGTATTGAATAGTAGACCTAGAACCAGGCACAGTCCTTGGCACGTGATTGTGCAGTGGATATTTATGGAATAAATAAATATTTCGGCTCTCAGCTAAATCACATCTCTTCAGGAAGGTGTTCTTTCACTTCAGTCTTCCCCACAATTCTAAGTGAAATATTTAGCCAGAGCACTCACTGGATCCTTATTGTAGAAATTTCATTCAGTGGTTTTTCTTTTCCATATACTGTGTGTGTCTTGAAGGCAAACACTATGGCTTGTTTTCTTTTACATCTCCAACATCTAGCATAATTACTCTTCAACCAGATATTTATATAATTTAATTAATAAATGAACATAGGTAATGTTGATCATAAGTCACTGTATTTTGGGCTCTTGCCTTATAGTCTTTTTCATTTTTGGAACTATCCCCACACTACGAATATACTGTTTGTTTTTATTGTTACCTTTTGTTGGTATTACTGAATACTGAAGTCATGTTCATTTATAGTCTTAGTTTTTTCACTTTCCCTTTATCAGATTTACTCTTTAAAAAACAAATTTATTCAGGCATAATTTATATACAAGTGTGTCTGCACACATCTAAAATGTATAGTTTGATGAATTTTGACATAAACACAATCACATAACTTTGTTAGTACAGAAAGTCCCCTGTGCCTCTTTGCATTTAGGCCCCACCCCTGACACAACAGGTTGCCACTGACTTAATTTCTGTTTTATGGGTGAGTTTTACTCACTGTAGAAATTAATATAAATTGAGATTAAGTTCTTTTCAATGTGTGCTTAGATACTCAGTGTGCTGTATTTAGGGTACAC